AGCAAGATTGATCAATATTTTTTCAATGAAAATATTTTTGTTGTTAATAGACAATAATTTAATATAGAGTAATTAATAAATTATTTTTTATATTATTAATAATGATAACAGTAATAATAATTACAATTACAGTTACAGTTGATTAATGATTGTTACTTTTATTCACCAAATAAACGTTGAACACGTTTAAGAACACTGTCTTTTTCAGGATCTATTTTTTTTTTTTAGCAATAGTAATGATGAAAAGAATTAATATATGTATGATTTATGATTTATATTATATTTATTTATCTATTATAATTTACCATATGGATGATCCTTTGATGGAATTTCAAGAATCGTAGGGAAGGCTTGATCATAATCATCTACTAATTGTCGAATGTTATTTGCTACCTATTTATTCATAAATTATTAATATTGATTCTTTGTATTTTTAATGTGAAAAAAAATCATTTTAAACGAATGATTTTAGAAAATACAAACATGTTGATTTATCAGAACGATTGCAATATCTTTTCTTTTAGTAAATTCAATAAATGTTTCTTCAATCTTTGATAATGTAGTTTCTAATCATCATCATACTACATTGTTATTGTTATTATCGAGGAAAAAAATCTAATTTAAAAATAAACAACTTACTAGAATCTACAACAAGAAAGTTTTTTTTGGGTCCATTAACATGACCAATTCCAGCTAATAATAAACCAGTTACTGAATCCTTTTGCGTATATATTATATAAATAGTACAAGGGATGTTATCATGAGTTAAAATTTTTACTTTGAACGAAATAGAGGAGCTTCCAACAATACCTCATCCCCAATTACAGCTATAAAATTACGTTCTTTATATGAAGCAATGGGTGTAGTCATATTTACCAATTTTAATTTTATGTAAATAAATATGAATTAATTATTAGGAATTAAATTTTATTATTATTATATGGGCATACCCGAAACAAAACAAAAAATCTGAGCATTTGTACTACTAAACGGTTTATGTTTAAACTTTTTTATTATTCAACAGCTTCCGGTGGTGTTAGAATAGGTAATTGAATGATTCAAGAGTATCCATGCACCAGATAAGGGATTATAGAACCCAAGAATTACAGCACTACTTGGAAGAAAGAACAATGTGAGAAAATTGCACCTCATGTATTTAAATTAGCCGATATTCACAGCACTTGAAGATTATCTAACGAAAGAGAAAATTATCTATGAAGTTTATCAAGAAGAAAGGAAAACAATAAACACTAGAAAAAGAAAGCATAATGAAAGTGAGAAATTACCCAATAAAGTGAAAATCTTTGAAAGAAGAATAAAACCTACAATTATTATTACATAATTGGAGAGGCCTTTTTTCAAGGTAA